AGTTAGCAAAATACGTGTCATGGCGTGAAAAACCCGGTTTGGTTAGTGGTAAAACAGTGTAGAGATATTATAATCAGTCCATAAAGAATTGAGGATACTATTATTTTCTATAACAAAAAAATGATATCTCAATTCCAGTAACCCATAATTTGGATTTTTTGTTCATCTTCATTTTGAGAGATATTATATTTTGAAACATTAGGAATGCTACTGCCTCTTACTAAAATGGTCAAGTTGAATATTGTAAATGAAGCTGACCTATTGATTGAAAACTAGCAATATGCTAGTTTTTACTGGAGTACAAATATTATTATTTATTTTCAGATGATAAAAACAAACCATATTCCTTTCTATTCCTAATTATTGTTATTATTAATTTTGATTAACCCTATTTTCACCTCAAGATGATATCATGTAGGGACAGAAATGAATGAGAAAACTATTATAAAATAGATGAGTGCCTTGTAAGAATATTAGTTGAAAATTATGTTTTCAAGATCAATGAATCAAAGTTATTCCATAGGAAACCTGAAAGGTTTTTCAAAGGTCAATGTCTTATATAACCGTAACTGCACTGTGGCTATGCATACTTTGAGAACTCAAATGGTATGTGATGAACGGGAATCAAAAAGTAACCAGCCAAGTTTAGAAAAAAAATCAATTTTTACTTCTCTATTCATCAAAAAATCCTAAAAGATGTAAAACTGATATTGGATAATATCAAGGTTTGAAAACTCGATTTTTTTTATTATCAATGTTTTCAATGAAAGTCATATATTAATATATATTATCAATTATAATATCTGTCAATGTAAAAAAGTGTTGTTACATTATTGAATAGCATAAAGCTTGTCATTAGGGATTCACAAGAAACCCCTGAATAGTAATAAAAACAATCTTTTTGCAATATTTTAGCTCAATTTAATTTGTGAGATCAAAGTCATGAAATTAGATAGACAATTTGACAAACAGCAAGAGTGGATAAATTAGAGGTCATTTGAAATATTTTTAGCTCACTGAAGTAACGATTTTATCATGAGTTCACATAGGATACTCAGATATAGTCTTTCGGATTTTGTGGATTTTTCTAGATATTTTCTGTTACAATCAATACATTTTCATATGGTTCAAAGTATAGTTATTGGTGAAACAACTCAGTTTAATAATTTTACAGTGCTGACTGGTACATTATTATTTCAATATTTTCAAGTATCCTCCTGTTGACATCACTTATTCCGAAGAATTTGAAATACAACTGATAATACAGCATATTATTTCCGCGAGGAAGACATTGTTGTTTTTTGAAAATAAGAATCAGCGATTTTTTCACAGCGATAACCTGGATTTCATTACATTATCTACAATAATAAAAAAAAATTCTCACAACTGTGATACTTTATTTAGAGGTCATTAATTATGAGTATGTTCCAAATAGTCTGCTATATGAACCCTTTGCATTCGGCAAGCCACCGACCTATCACCGTTAATTTGATAACACACAAAGGACTATTTTTTCCTGGTCAGATATGATAATGAGGAACTTCAGCAAATGAAATAATACGACTTTTTGTGTTATGATTCATTATGATATTGAATTAGTGTTGCTTTACTAATGTGAATGTTCGAAGTTAAAAATAATCACAGCACATACAACAGTCAAGTTTGCAATCATACTAAAAGATTATCAAAAACAAATAGCTTACAGTAGAATATTTGTTGAAAAAACTGAAATTCGGTGACAACCTTTCATTTTATCAAATGTCTTGATATCCCTCTCTCCATTTCACTGATCAATAGAACTTGAATAGGTAATTCATAAGGAGAAGCTCAAAATCAAAAGAGGTAATTCAATGAAGAGATTCGTAGTGTCAATATTATTTGGGCTCTTGTTGAGAGAAAACAATACTAGGTAATGTATGACACTTCCTCTGTAATCTAATTTCATCGATAATTCAATCCAAGAATGAAATTATATAACCATGAACCATAATATAAATTGAGTGTGAATTATATATTTCAAATGCTGAGGTAATCTGAAATTATATTCAGTTGTATTGGATTATAAATACAATTTACATGGTGTGTGAAACGTTGGGCTGCATAACATTTTTACTTTTCCTTAGTGGCTCTAAAATTGAAGAATACCTGATTATGTGCGCCATTCAAAGTCTACTTGTCAGCAAAGTGAATGAGAATAATATGAGACACTAGAGATCAGGATGAAAATTTGTGAGCAGAGGGCAATAATTCAAAGTATTTCAGCGTTTTCACAAAACACGTTCTCCTTGGAGTGATTCACTTTCTTTTGTCTTTGGTGGCCCGCTATGTTAATGGCTGAGTGTTATTTGTAAGACTCTACGATTTGTCATTCATTTATTTCGAAGTATGGTTTGAATAAAAAAGAAAAAATATATTCCTTTATTTTTCGAATGGAAGTGATATAAACAACAGATCCCAGCTAAGGTGAACACTCATGTAAATAATCAACCGCTTGTGCCGATGATGTGAAATTGAGTCACCAAGCAAATCTGGTTATGCTTATTTGAAAATGAATATATTAAGTGCTAAAAGAATCAAGTGGACCACTCGAATTTTCGACGTTATATAAAATGTGATAACTTTTTTGACCCAATTTTCAATCGGAATGCAGTGTTCAAAAGATTATATTAACTGAACAGTGTAATCAATCAATAAAATAGAAACCAATTTCGAGAAATTCCATCAAACTCCAGGACAGAATGGGATCACTCCAAATTCGATGCAAGTTTGCAGACCCGATTTTCAATCGGAATGCAGTGTTCAAAAGATTATATCAACTGAACAGTGTGATCAATCAATAAAAAGGAAAACCAATTTCGAGGAATGACATAAAACTACATAATACAATATGAGGAAACCAAATTCGATGAAAGTTTGCAGTGTGCCATTCATCGACTTGTGAAATATTAATTATTTTTGCTTTTCGAATTCCTGATTCTGAATACAATAAAATAAGCTTCTGAAATCTGACAACCGAACTGAAATCAGTCAATTTTTTTGGAAGTAATAATCTAAGGAATCTGAGCTAATATTTCAGGAGCCCTACTTCAATGAGGCCCAACATTATTTATTGTCCAACTGATCGCGCCACTAAAACATGAGGTCAGAGTTGGTACAACTGATGAATATACTTCTTTTCCTGTCTTTTCCTACGATATCTTCTTCTCTGTCGATGTAAGATTTGGTCATGAAGTTACGCATTGAAAGTAAAAAAAACGTCAGCCTGCTCAAATCTTTCCATAACTTTTTTTATATATTTTGTTCAAATACTTTTCGATTAGACAAGTCACAGCCTTTAGAGCAATTTGGAAAAATTTTGGGATTTTTGACTTTGACATTGACCTCACGTTTTAGTAACGCCCACTGGTGAGACTGAAAATTCAAATTCAAAGTACGCCTCAGCGTGTTCAAATGGCAACATAGTCTGATTAATCTCAGCTTTTTTATTATTGATCTGATGAGTACGTTGTGACGTCAAAGAAAACAAATTGATTTTAATAATGTCACATCACGAATGCACACTCAAAATTAACTGTTCTTATTTCCATTTTTTGTAGTGAAAATACCAGTATTTATAATTTCAAAATTCACAAATGAAAAAATTGCTCAAACAATTCATGGATAACTGGTCTTCCAAACAGTCTATCTGGAACACTTCGCGCGTGTTTTAAGAACCTTAATACATCTTATTAAATATTATATGTTTGATACAAAGTCACCAAACAAATATGAATATTTGGTCTGTTATTTTCGAGGATGATCCATCAGTAGTGATGTTTTTGCTATAGCTGATCCCTAATTATACACACCCTAAAATGTATGCATGGACCAAACATACTTAGTATGGCCAATTCGAATTTAATGAGGAGTTTAATAAAATCACTGAATTTGTATTGATGAGCCCTATTCAAATATAGAATAATTTACGGAGAGCCCTTATTCATATAAGAAAGTACAGGTATACTTCAGTATCACCTTGTACAAATTATATAAATGGGTGAGCAAATTCAAAATTATTCACTGGTTGATTATTTAAAAGGTGAACATTTTAACTGAGATACCTTGTTTAAAATGAGAGATTATTTTTTTGTATAAACTATACTAAAATAATGCAATTGGGCAGCTGTTTGGATTCAAATCCCAGAACAATAAAAATCACAATTGACCAACTCAAATGAAATTCTACGATCTTGTCAACTATTTTGTTAGACTTTTAATCAAATTAGGGGTGAATTAGATTCACTTCAATTTCATCAGCACAATTTTAAAACGAATTTACAAAAACACTTGAAGTCAGATCTGCCATGTAGGAGTAATATTGCTGCTAATTACAAAGTCAAAAGTCAAAATCATCTCTTTGAGGCATTGCAATGAAATATTTATATATTTGAATACTTCATACTACTGGACATTTCGAATGTAATACTTAATATTCAGTCAAAATCAACAGATTTAATTTCACTTGATGGTATATTTCTGCTTATAAATAACAAACACATTGTATTAATGGGCATGCTGGAACTAATACAAGAATGTGTATTTTTTAATTCCAGTTCCCTTTCAAGTTTAGGATTCAAATACTACTGACCTTCAATGTAAATTTGGACAGGAACTACAGGGTATCCAAGTCAAAGAACTCTGTAGCCCTAAATGAGCCTGAATAATATCCAGTATTTCCTCACGTTGTTTGGGTGATTTCAAAAGTCCAGAACATTTTAGGAACACAATGTTCTGTTACAAATCAATTTCACACCCATACGAATCGGGACTCAAGAACAAGCAAGGTTCAGATCATTGAATGCATATTTCATCATATCCTCTATCTGTCATGAGTATGGAAAAACTAAATTTCATGACTAGCAGAACATCTCTGAATGTAATCGAAATGCTGGATTATGTTTTTAGCAGCAAGTGCATGGACATTCTATGTAAAAATTTAAATCAAACAAAAATAACATATTATGTACAAAATATAATACAAAAAAGTCGAGCAATCTTTCGAGTACACATTGTCCAAAATTTGATAAAAAAATCTGTAAAGCTATATTTCAGAGGAAGCTGTGCTTGAGAATATAATTTTTAGAAGACTGAGTTACGACTATTTACACCATATGGCAATGTTCTCTCCAACAGTTATGAGCATAAAGCTTGCACCGAGATCAACCAATAGTAACATCTGTCCCATGCAATGAGGGGCACGCTATTTATATATATTCGAACACTGACCTTGAGATTCACGTACAATCACAGCACAGAGTAAAAACTATTAAAATACATCTTCAAAAGTCAATTACTCTGTTTTTGTCCTTAAGTTGATAATGCAATCGACGAAATTCGAATTATTTGGTTACTTGAATAAATTCTACTTGGTAGCAGTCATTGGAAAACAGTCCACTGCACTAAAAAGTCCAATGTATTATCTTTGGTCTCTGTACAGGAGGTAAGTTTGTAAGGCTTGCGGTAGCTGCAGACTCATCACTTTTTCTTCTAAATGCTGTTTTCCAAGACGTTGTCGTATCACTCGTCGACATAAGTCCATAAGGGGTAGAGGTTCAGCTGAAAATTTGAATAATTGATCAGTACTTAATCATCACAAATATTCTCACAGCATGCCTATAAGAACTCTCACAAAACTAAGGTAACCTAACAAAATATCCGGTATATATGTTGAAAAACCAGAATACCTTGACAGAATAATTTTAAATTTACAAGCAAATTTCTGTTAAGAATTTGCTTTCAACTAGTTTGTAATAAGTATTTGCTAGTTTGTAATGAGTAAAATGAGTAAATGGTAATATTCTTGATCCCTAGTTTATCACTTAATATACTTTTGAAATTGACTAACGAATGGAATCTAGAATGGCGATTGGATGAAATGAATGAATAAGAAACGGCATTTCCATTGATATTGAATCATTTTATTCATTCATATCCTCATTTATTCAAGTGTTTATTTGGAGCAGTAAAAACGAGGGGTAAATCACATGGGAAGTCCGGTGTACCCTAGACGGGAATTCCTTGGGAAGTCTGGGAATTCTTTGGGAAGTCCGGGAATTCTTTGGGAATTCCTTGGGAAGTCCGGGAATTCCTTGGGAAGTCCAGGAATTCCTTGGGAAGTCCGGGAATTCCTGAGGAAGTCCGGGTATTCTTTGGGAAGTCCGAGGAATTCTTTGGGAAGTTCGAGAATTCTTTGGGTATTCTTTGTGAATAACTTGGTAGTCCCAGCAATTTTTAGAAAATTGAAGTCAAATTTCTCAGATATGAAAATGAATTTTGCGCAAAGAAAACATATATGGACTGCACAGTATTTTGCTTCAAGACCTACCTGGTTGATTTTTTTTTGACGGAGAGGTACCGCGAGCACCGAGAGTACCTTGTCCCACTTAAAATATCATATGTTAGTCAGTCGAATTTTCATTCTCTTCAAGGTTTCCCGTTGGAATCCTGTTAATTATTCGGAAAGATATGAGAAGATCGAGAAAAAATTATTTTTTATTGAACATTTTGAGTTCTGTCTGGCGATCGATTTTTCGACGACTTCCCGATATCCAATCATGCTGAAATTTTACACATATCTTTGGGTCTGGTCAATATGGGTATTATCAGATTCAATACGGTTATTATAAAGTAGAATACTCGGTAGAATACAATTTATAACAAAGCTTGAAATCCAATATGGCCGCCGACAAAAAAAATTCCTTTTTATACGAGCGTGCGGAAAAATTATTTTACCCCACTAGTGCTGAAAAGTTACTTTTCGCCACGATTTTTGTATTGTTGAAAATGGGGATATTTATGACTAACTAAATGATCTATGTAACTATTAAAATCTTGTTTATTAAAAACTTTTTTTTTCTCAAATAATAATAATATGGACAAAAACACTCGTGGAAAAACATTATACCTTACTCTTCTTGCGGCAAATGTCTTTTCCACAATTGACGGCTTGCCCGAACTCCGCCCCGCGTCGTTCGTGCAATAGCCGTCGCGTGCGGTAAAGTACTACTTTTCGCACTTGTTTGGTAAATAACTACTGAATTCGTTCACAATTCCCTCGACATGGGTACCAAATAAGAGAGAATGACAAGTAGAATACAAAAACCATATGACACTACTTGAAATCCAATATGGGGCCGACACAAAATGTAAATGTTAATCAATTTCATTGAACACTTTGAAATACCATACAGGGTGTGCCTAAAAGGTCTATACAAAAAATACCACATATTCCTCAGACCACAACAATTGAATTATATCAAATCTACCTACCTAAGTATAAAATTGCTCAGTTTGGGCGCTAAACGGCTCTGGAGAATTTTGTACCTACGTTGACATAGCTTTATCAAGCAATAAAACCCATATCATGATAATGATCGAAATTATGATGAATATCATTCCATGCTAGGCGTAGAATTCAATTTTTTCAGTAAATAAACATCTAGAAGGTACTCTTGATAAAATTCTATTACTCTCATGATCTCGAAAAAATTCGTAATTCTAGTAATTTAAAACATGTTGTCTACTTGTCTAGCGCTCTAACCGAGGCTCAAACTAAGCAACTTTGTACTGAAGTAAGTTTGCTTGTATATTTCGAATTGTTTTGGTCTGATGAGGAATATTAAGTATTCTTTTGTGAATACATATTAGGGACAGCCTGTATATCTTTGCAATTCGGCCAAACGAGTTCACAGAAATATAAGTATGAAATTTAGCGACTTACTATGAGCCGATCTATAAACTGTAGAGTTAGTTTCATAAACAATCTTGATATAGGGGCCAAAACTTTAATTGCTACAGACATGTGGCATAGAGAAACATCCCGAGAAACATTTTGAAGTTTTTTTGCACAAAAGCTGAAAAAATACAATATTCTCCTATTCAAAGATGTATACAATAATACAGGTAGGTATTGGAGAAATATCATCATTTACTTTATTTCAACCTTCGCTTCATTTCCTTATATTTTTGTACAATGATAGATCGATCATTTTCATTGATTGACATTTTATTGCCGATTCCTAGATACAGAAGGTTGACGTTTTGTGCACGAGAAATAATACCTAGTAATTTTTGAATGTATGATGAATTGACATTCATCATACAGGACGTGGAAAGTAGGTAATTCTGAATTGATATTTTTATCACATGGAGAATGCGAATTCTCAATGTATTTCTTTATATATATATATATATATATCCATTTTTTTGTGTTCATAAATATATCTGAGAATGTCCATTTCAAATACCTAGTAAATTATTATTATTATTATTAGAAAAAAATTACGCATTCCAAGGGTCATACCTGGTCATATCAATGGATTTCGAAAATTCACAAAATTGTTAATAATTTCCCATGGTTGAACTCAGAATAAAAAAAACTTTCGAAATCTGTGAACAGATAATCAGGGCCGTATTTGGAAAAAAAGTTGTTGATTTCTCTACGAATACGAAACGTCGCGTGGAGAAATCAATATCACCACGTTAAATCTCATCAAGAGATGCCATGTAAGAGTATTTTTAGAGTTTTCTATATATCTGATAATAACGTAGAAAAACAAATAGATATTCCAAAAATTCACTTTCTATATACAAGGTGTTTCTCAAGTACGTGTAGAAAATCCAGGAGCATGTTGCTGACGTCAAAATGAGAAGAAAAGTTCGTATAAATATATGTCCGAAAGTTATTCGTTTCTGAGATACAGAGTGTCAAAGTTGAATTCTTATTTTTGTTTTTTGTTAATAAATTTCAAAATAATTGTGATATTCAAATGAATTTTGGTATTTCGGGGTATTTTTCGATGACAATATCAAATTTTATGTTAGTTCATCTCTTTCGTGAGGGTGGCGGCACCTACATGTCTTTTGAGTCTTTTGAAAAGTCACAACTTTTTTGTGCGTACCTGTATCACGTTCTATAGTAGGAAAAATAGTTTTCTAGAACACGTTCGTGTAAAAAACATATTCTTCTGCGAGCAACAGTTTTCGAGTTATTGGGATTTTCAATAATCGATGCAAGTAATTTGGAATGACGAAGAAGTAGGAATTCAAAATTGATTTGTCAAGTAGATAAGGAAAATTATTTTTTTTTATTAATACTGATAATAATAACTGTAATCAGGACCAAATAAATACTAACACAGTTAGTTGAGGGAATTGATTAAACTAATTGTTCAAAATGGCCAAAAAAATAGATACAAAGAAGTAAGAATCATCCATATACGTATTAATAATCAATACGGATAATCTCTATCTGTTTCCATAGCGAAACATGAAGCCGATTTTTGAAGACAAATGACTATCCATAAGGAAAAGTTTTGAAACGATCAGACACATACTGCTTTGATTGAAAGGCTAGTAAACGTCATTGTCCACCGAAACGCATGTCTTTGATGACTACTATAATAGCGCATGGCGCATGCGTATCATGCCACCAAATCCTTATGGATATTCATTTGTTTAATATTTTTGGCTTCATCCTGGCACCCGTTATGATCCGTATTGTTTATTAATACGTATATGGAATCATCATTTGGCTACATTCCAATGTTGAATTGTTGAATGGAGGAGAATATTGAATGAAAGAAGAAAAATGCACTGACGTATCTTTCCTAACTGCTTAGAGTCGACTTACGAGCCCAATGGAATTAATTCAAATGCATCGATTGTTTCAAATCCCAATATCTCGAAAACAGTTGCTCGCATCGACCTCTACCAAGAATATACTTTTTACACAAAAATGTCCTAGAAATCTATTTTCTTACTATGAAACGTGATACAGGTACGAACAGAAAAGTTATGACTTTTCAAAAATTCAAAAGACATGTAGGTAGCGCCACCCCCACGGAAGAGACAAACTACCAAACTTCATTCGATTATCACAATTATTTTGGAATTTATTAACAAAAAACAAAAATAAGAAATAAGAATTGACACTCTGTATCTCCGAAACGGATAACTTTCGGACATATATTTATACGAACTTTTCTTCTTATTTTGACGTCAGCAACATGTTCCTGAATTTTCTACACGTACTTAAGGAACACCCTGTATAACTGAAAAACTAAAAACAATTGTGAAAATTTTCCAAAGCCGTTGGTATGATCATCAAAATGCGCAACTTGTTTCCCATTTAACCGAATCCGTTTCTTTTCCTGTTCCCGAGATCCCTATATCACCTTATCTTGGTTTCACTATACAGGGTGGGCCACCAGTAACGCCTCGGTCTCTAGAAGGCTAACCACTTATCTTCTTGGAATTTTTCCTCTCTAGGAAGTTGCATGTCAACATGGGCTACCATTTAAAATTATTTCGAAACATACAGGGTGTCCCCAAAAACCATAAAACACTGAAGTTAAACTTTTTTCTATCGAACACCCTATATATTATTTCATTTTGAGATTCTCCCTTGTGAGCTGATTTCAACAATCCATCATACTTGGGGTCTAGCAGTTATAATTACTGAGATATAGGGTATGAGAAATCGAGATTTTCCAAGTTCAAGAATTTTTTGTGTCTAAACCATTCATAATTGGTCAAAACGGCTCACATGTCCCTAT